ACACAAGGCTAAATATTAAAAATAATTTCAGGGCCGGACCTGGTTGACTACTTTTCTTGCGCGCAATGCATCCGGATAAGCTTCGGGATCTCTGGCTGCATCTCGTTGCACGATATCAAGAACCCTGCAGTGCATATGCATATGAAATTTTGAGTGCACGTTTATTTTAAAAATTATGTCAGCTTTAAGCAGTAGAAGCAGAGCTTACCTGGCAGCTATTTCTGAATATACATCTGCAGGCTTTTCACCTGCAATTAGATTAACAGCTTCTGCTCCTAACTGATATTTATTCATTTTGAACCAAAATCAGAAAAGAAAAATGACAAGCGGCCAGAAAAAGGAAACCATAGAAAATAAATACAAGAGAATTACCCTGTCTCTCCCAAGAGCGGCATAATGCTGTAAACCATTGCAGGTACCATCCTGGCCAGAACCAAAGTGAAAGAAGGGAAGTTCGTTTTACGGAGCACACAGATTGAAAGAGAGACTACATCGTAAAGTCATTAAAAAAAAAAAAACAATCCTGAAAGGGGATATGTCAATGTAACTTCTGCCAGAAAGTACCTGATGTACAGGAATATGTGAGAGAACTGTCTCCGGGGATGGACTTCTGAGAGCTTCAGTAAGATTTATGCACACAGCCAAGCACTGAAATGGGTGTTCAGCTTTCAGCCACCATCTGCTTCCTTCAAGTGGTCTGTCTGCCGAATCAAATATGTCATCCAAGTGACTTTCGGTGAAAGCTAGCCGTCCCTCAAGTGATAACTTATCTACACCACCAGCATACAAGTTTGCTAAGTGTATCTTCAGCCAGCGTAAGCCTGGACTTCCCAGAGGCCTTCCCTCCGCAAACTCCAAAACACCCCGACACAGATCAGAACCGAGATGATTTAAGTGTGGGGGCATGGGATATGCACGTCCCCGAAAGTCAATATTGTGGGGATAGTAAAAACCTTCTTCATCTTTCATTTTCCGTGCTACCTGTCACATTTATTTAAAGAATTGCCAACTGAACTCTCAAAATGGAACATTACTTTCAGCCAGTGGGGCGATAAAGCTCACCGAAAGCTTGAGTTCTATGTCACAGCGCAGAGAATGTCTCTCGCTGTTATCCTTTTTAGCAGATTTGACTTCCCACCTCCATTTCTTAAGAATGTCCTCATCTTCAGTGTCGGGCTTTTCGGGTACAGGAACCTGCATTTTGAATTTACAGAAATTAAAAGGGCTTCGTGATGCAAAAGAGATCGAAAGTATATCTACGCCAGCAATAACTAATGTCAAACTCTTGCACAGATGAAAAACGGTGATCATTATAAGACCAATGTAATACATGGAATAACTCACATCGCTGCGATCCACCAGATCAGCAACACAGCCGCCACTGCTCCATATCCTATCTACAACCGTTAAAACTCGCTTATTTACTCTCCATTTAGTACTTCCAAGCGTATCCAAGGCCTAGCAAATGTTCATAAGATATATTACAGAAATTTATAACTGTAACTGATCTCTCCACTTTCAATCACATGAAGAATCAGTATTGTGATTATTGTCTGACCTCAAAGACTAGTTTTAGTTGTCCTTTAGGTGCGTTCCTAAGTGCCTCTCGTTGTTGCTTAGCTCCATGAGTTTTCATTATATATGACGCTAAGAACAAGTAAGCACCTTTGTCGTAACTGCGAAATAACACAAAATGAAAGTGAAATGAACAAAACACTCACCAAAATAAAAGTCATCCAAGCTCCTTATGGAAATTTTGAAAATTCTCGAAGCTATACAAATCTAAATTTTCTTTTTCTTAACGTAGTTAGATCCGCTTTAGGGTTTCTATATGATCCGAGTAACTAGTCTTGGTCACAAAATATAGTAGAATAACTTTCATCCTACTGAAGAAATCGTTTTAGGATTTATTTTTGAAATACCATGCAATGCAATTGCATACATCAAAGAAAGCTTATTTACCCCGACCACTTGAGAGGGGGAACCAGCATTGGCATGTATGGCATCACTGCATATCTCCCCTGCACGACAAAAAAAGGCCACATTCACACTTCCTACAATATAATTAGACGCCTCAGTTATACCTTACGCATCAAATCCCAAATCTATTAAGTCTTATTTACAAGCGTCACTCATGTCAGTGTCACACCCTCTTTAGATATAACACTAACAGTCAACAAAATGAACATAAATTACTCTCGAGTTCTGAAAGAAATTAACCATTACTTTCGTTGATATTAGGTTAAAATTAATCTGACTAACAAACCAAACTAGAATAGGTCACCTACAGTTTTTTCCAAGCCTTTGCGGACCAAAGGGTCACACTCGATTACACCATATTTTCTCCCACATTTCCTGTTGTACAAGAAAGGCCGAAATATGAGCCAATAACATCCAGGACAAGAAGAAACGCCCTACTTGAAAACCATAGACCAAAAATTTCTCACATGTTTCCTTGCGCTACTGTCTTGAAGGTATGCTTAAATGCAGGTCGAACATCAGGTGTATCATCTTCCTGCTGATTAGTTGGAGACTGTATGTGAGCTGTTCTTACCAACAACTCTATAAGCCGACTTCCAACCTGGGATATGAATAAGCAAACATCAAAACGTTAGCAACTTATGCAGACAACAGAAGCTATCTTTATTTCCTCAACAATGTCGCAGAGAAGGCTACACACACCTTTGCCCTAGCATCAGCGGTCCATGGCTTCGTATAGTCATGTGCCTGCAATATATTTCTAACTGCTGCCAACTTCTGTTTCTTTATCAAGTCATTGACCTTTTTTCTCAACTTATCTTGTTCCTTCATTGCAGTTCCATTTTCAACATCCCCGCTCTCCTCATTGTCATCCCCTTTTTTCTTCCTGGTCTTATCCAGGAATGTGCATATCCTTATCTATCCAATCAAGAGAAAGAAAAAAAAAACACTATTAGAATACAAGACGTCCAAACGCCATAGAGCAGATCAATCATAGACAAGTAAGAGAACTTTATAGGCAACACAAAAGAAAACAATATTTCACACCTCCACATAAGGTTTTTTTCTTTTTGCTTGATTGATAACTGTTACATACTGAATGAACGTGCCACACTACCAAATAGTGAACACCTTATCAAGATAATGTTCCCAATATTAAAGCAAAAAGTTTCAGTTTTTCAGTTCAAGTTCAGGCTTCCGGTATCTAGCTATGGGATAGTTTGACCTTATTAGGTTCAGGTTTACTTGTGACGGAAAACAGTTTTAAGAGATCAATTGATCAAATCTCCCACTACAACCATTCAATGGCAAACCAAGAAGATTGGCGGCAAAAGATCAGAAACAAGAGAGAGAGAGATGGAGCTAACCAACCTCTTGTTCAATGGCATCACCTACTGAACAAGCAGCATGAACAACCTTAACACACCCGTTATCACCACCAGTCATCAAATGCCCCATCAATTTGTGCATTGTGATAACAGCTATCATGTCGGCGGGCAACTGATCAATGTAATGAGCATAGGTTGCTTTGTTCTTCCCTAATCTATACAGTTCCTGTTCTTTAACAATGACATCTCGTAATGGCTCGAACCAACCCAGAAACAAGGACTTCACATAAGGCAGATTAGGCGCAAGCTTTTGCTCACACATATCCGCCAAGAGCTCCCTGTACTCATTAGCAGCTCTTTCCCATTCTTCCGTCTCCACCTTAACTTGCCTTCTCCATAGATTCCGATACTTGCTGCGACCCATCCCAGCGTGTTCTTGCTTCTTCATCAGCCACGAACGATGATCCTCTCTCTTCTTCTCCTTCTTCATTTCTTTCAACAGTTCCTCTACCTCATTGACAACCGAAGCCTCTTCCTCGACATCTGTCGACGAGACCTCTTCGGCTACACTCCCGTAACCTCTAGAAAAAGACCCATTAAGACAGCTATCGCCCTTGAACCGGACCCGCCCGGAAAATCCCTCTGGCCTCGTGATGCCACTTAAACGACGAAAACCCATTTCGTGACATCCCGAATCCGAGATGGATCCGAACACCGAAAACCGAAAGCTCAAATTTTTCGAGAGAGGAGGCTCCTGAGAAAACCCAAGAAGGCCACGAGTTTGGGAACCGGCGGATAATCTAGCTTGTGACCTTGAAATAGCTTGTTTAGCAATGTTTCTCCACATAGGGAAGGATTGGGAAACTGGGTTTCGATAAGAAATCAAGGGTTTATGAAATGGAATCAAATGATCCAATACCTTAGTCTGATTTGCCAAGAGCACTGGGGTATGGGCACTGGACATCAATCGAGCTTATAATGAATAAAAATCGATAAACCAGAGCACAAACAACACGATACTGAAGAATTTCGATCGCATGAGAACAAAAGCATAGAGCGAAATCGGCAAATTGAGAAGACTTTCATAGAAGGGAGAAAAAAGAAAAAACAACTGGTAAGTACAGAGTACACGACGAAGCCGCCTTAAACCCTTTGTTAAAAACCCTTGCAGTTCTAAATTTTAGCCTCTCTCTTTGTCTTTTTTTTTTTTTTGTTCTCATGAGAAGAATATTAAAAACAAAAAAACAAATATATTAATTCGACCCGAATATTACAAAGGCCTCTACTGCGGCCCATAGTCTCTTTACTAAGCAAAAAGGCTTCAAGAATTTATGAAGCCCAATTAATTATTTTATTTGACCATTTCAAATAACCTTTTAGTGGTGGTACCCATTTATTGTCACCAAAAAAGGGTGGAACCCAATTACAATCCAAATATCATAAACCATAGTTTATTATAAGATTTGGATTTTGTATTTTTTGTCAACAATATCATTTAGATGTAATACTAATCTCATCTATTATCTTTCTTTTTAATTTGGTGCAACTATTCATCTATTATTCTTCAAATTAAAAATAAAACCAGTAGACTAAAATCTGATTTTCTTGATATGTGTCGATTAGTGGTTGGATTGCTGGGATTCACCTATGATATAACTCACACCTGATTACTCTCTCTCTCTCTCCAAACCAATTTGATATTATCCTTCTCTATATTTTTAATAAATTACAAATTAGCCCCTTTACTTCTGTTTGAGAAGTAGCAAGCCCGATTTTTGTTTCCTTTCTCGGAATTGAAGCTGCAGATGCAGAATTGTTTTCTCTCTATCTCTCCGCGTTGCTCTCGAGAAGAAAAAAAACTCATCTGGCAAAATATATGTCATTGGATGCCAAATGATGAAGCTTGTTGCATAATATCTTTGAGGTAAATTACTGTTTACTGATCGAAAGTTAGAGTCTTTGCTCTAACTCCAGGCTAGCTGTTTGCGTGGCTTCCGATCGATTTTTTGCCCGAGTTTTGAGTTCCTTTGCGGGCACTTTGTTGTTCTTCTGCTGGGTTTTTTGTTCAGAGATCTGGTGATCTACTGGTTTGCTGCTTCGTCGATGATCGACTGATCTTCTTGTGGGTTTTGGGGAAATCTAAGCCATCTTGAGGCAGCTGATGGTTTGGATTTGAGATTGAATGGAACGTCTCGGTTTTTGGGGATTGCTGATGGGTAGTGTGGAAAAGTCATCGGACTCTGCAAATTTGCTGGCTTGCTCTGCATCTCTGAAGAATGGAGACGAAGAGAGTACTTCATCGAAGCAAGCTTCGCCATTGAAGCGTTCTGGGTCGAGAAACACTAGCCCTGTAGGTCGAGTAGGGTCGAGAAACACGAGCCCTTCTAGGCAGAAAGTGGTGAAGACGAAGCCTCGTGGTCTGGAGGAAGAGACCGTAGCTTCCTTTGGTAAACCCGTTGTTGCTGATGTGCAGATGGAGGATGGTATCTGGGCAATGCTTCCAGAGGATTTGCTGAACGAGATTTTAGCTAGGGTTCCACCTTTTATGATATTTCGAATCCGGTCCGTTTGTAAAAAATGGAACTCGATTCTTCAGGATAATGGTTTTCTCAAGTTTCACTCGAATGTCTCCTCTCACGGACCTTGTCTCCTCACTTTTTGGAAGAACTCGCCGCAGATTCCGCAATGCTCCGTTTTCAGCTTGCCCTTGAAGACGTGGTACAAAGTACCCTTCACGTTTCTGCCTCCATGGGCTCTCTGGTTGGTTGGATCTTCAGGTGGTCTCGTTTGCTTTTCGGGACTTGATGGTCTAACTTTCAGAACTTTAGTATGCAATCCTCTGATGCAGAGTTGGAGGACGCTGCCGAGTATGCACTACAATCAACAAAGGCAGTTGATTATGGTTGTAGATCGCTCAGAGAGATCATTCAAAGTCATAGCCACAAGTGATATTTACGGCGACAAGTCACTTCCTACCGAAGTTTATGACTCCAAAACTGACAAATGGTCCTTACACCAGATAATGCCTGCGGTGAACTTATGCTCTTCGAAAATGGCGTACTGTGATTCCAGATTGTATCTAGAAACTCTTTCGCCTCTCGGCTTGATGATGTATCGGCTTGATACGGGGCAATGGGAACACATTCCAGCTAAGTTCCCGAGATCTTTGTTGGATGGTTACCTCGTCGCTGGAACTCACAAGAGATTGTTTCTCGTGGGAAGGATTGGCCTCTACAGCACCCTCCAAAGCATGAGGATATGGGAGCTTGACCACACGAAGGTTTCTTGGGTAGAGATAAGTAGAATGCCTTATAAGTACTTCCGACCGCTTCTGAGACTTTCTGCCGAGAGATTCGAGTGTTTTGGACAAGATAACTTGATCTGCTTTACGTCGTGGAATCAAGGAAAAGGTCTTCTGTACAACGTGGATAAGAAGGTTTGGTCTTGGATTTCCGGGTGTGCTCTTCAGTCATGCAACAGCCAAGTGTGTTTTTATGAGCCAAGATTTGATGCATCTGTCCAGTGATCAATAACAATGCTCTGTTTCACATCATTCTTGAAAGAAAATCTATTTGGCTGCTTCGCAATTCATGTCAGAGATGTTTAAGTCGAAGAGCACTTTGCATGTACCCCCACTGTTGATGAAGGGCAATTCCGGGGAGAAAAAACTGTAAGATAAACATGTTTCTAGCTTTCTGTAAATTAGCATTCACTGGATAAGAAAACTCTCTCTGTGTCTCTATCTTGTCCACATAATATACAGATTATGCTGTCTTGAAAATTTTCCTTTTTGCTTTATGTTACATTTTGAGCGTCACTTTGCAAAATAACGACGTATGAGAAAGAAAGGTTTAACTTATGACACTGGAATATAGATATGACCTTGAAGATTTTGGGCAATTGTTACATATAAATCCCATATCTAAAGTCTCTACAGTTTAGCCAACTCATAGATACTGATAGGGTAAGAGTATTTGGTAGACTTGCTGAAAGTTTGTTCAGCTATGATTTTGTTGGCAATTTCAGTCGGATGAAATGCATCCCAAAAGACATATCGGTGCCTATCCAAGCACGGTTGCTGCAACGGGAGGCATGTCAAGGCTCCTCCATATCTCCCACTACCGCAGCATGCTTTGTTTGGTATCTCAAGACCTGCAAACAAACAAAAAAAGGAAGAACTAAAACTAAGTTTTGACTTCTTACTGAATAGATAGGTTTAGGCCACTCTTACCATAACTAGAGGGATTCACAACCATGTCATGGAAGAGATCATAGATGTTTTGATAGACAAAGAAAGATCCTGGAAGAGTTGTGTTGAGAGTATTTGGTAGATCTTTCAATCGGCTATTGAACATTGAAACCAAATCATTGATCTTTGTCACACACCCGGTGTTGCTGTTGTTGTTGCCGCTTGCCATAGATAGCTGACTCGGTATGCAACCTAATGGTCCTGATCCAGCTAACACCATCTTTCTTGCGCCTAAGTTGTATAGTCTCTGCCAGATATATGTGAAAGAACACACTTTATGCTTTCTGAGTATGAGATGAAAATTTGCATCGGTATTGTGATTAACTAAATAAATTACTGATATTTGAGTTGAGAGGGTCTTGATAAGGAGATTTGCGTAGTCTTGTCCACTGTAGATTTGGCTGCTTGAGTATCTCTCAGGCATAAGGTAATTGTTGATGTAATCATTGCTTCCTATATTGATCGCAATTATCGATTTCGCAAGATACTTTCTGAGATCTGCAGGGTCTTGAAAGAAAGGCCGGAGCTTTAACTCGATCGTCGTCTCAAACTGTGATATCTGTCCATTAAATGTAGTTCTTGCTCCCTGGAAAAACAAAACAAAGACAAACAAAAAATAGTTCTTGTAAAAGTGTTTATTTAAGAATAGTTTTTAGTTTCTTTTGATCCTCACATAATGTTGACCAGTTTCGTCTAAAATCCCAGCTGCTGCAGATGCATAGTTAAGCCCTCTCAACACGTTTTCCCCAATTGACACAGGAGATAAGAATGGTGGCACCAATGGCAAACCGAGGTACATTGCTACATGAGAACAAAAATGTATAAACATTTTACTGAGAAAGTTAGATAAAAACAAAAAAGAAAGTAGTAACACTCAACTTTAATGACATTTAGTCTAAAGTTACCTCCATAATCAACAACTGTTCGGCCATTGCAGAAACGGCCAGTGGGGAAGCCAAAGTCAATTCCATAAGGAAGATAATTAGCTCGTGCAAGAGTGGGAATGTAATTGTTGTTTCCACTATCAACTAAGGAATCTCCAAAGACGAAGAAAGCCGGAGCAAGAGGTTGATGATTCCTAGTTTGGCCATGACCATAACCATAACTGCACCAGACAAGCTCTAAGAACACAACACAAAACAACAAACTCTTCATGCTTGGTCTTTCTCTCTGTCTCTTTGCTCAGGAAAGTAGCTTATGAAGAAAACTGCTCCATATTTATTATATGTATGCAAACAGGTACTGTAGATATATAAATGTATCAATAGAGGGATATAGAAGGAAACATGTTACGTGACATATGAGACAGGTTGGTTCAGAGGAAATGGTCGTCGTAAATGACATCATGTAGTGTGGTGGTTAACTGTTACTGTTGTAAAAGATTTGTGTTTCTTTATTTCGTTCATCTACTGCTTCTTTTAATTAGTTTCTTACTCCTTTTTCTATAGAGACAGCTTTTAGGAAGAGCCATCCCCTAAACCTCCCACAGTCCTACTTTTGTAGCAAATCTGTTTTCTAGTCATTGATGGTTTTGCGCATAGCCTCCGATCGAAAAATACGTGACGACTTTAATTGTTACTACAGTATGTATTGATGGGCCTTCAATTTGGGCTTAATTCTTTGGGTTCATCATCTCCCCTTCATTAGTTTATTTTTTTGTTCTCAAAATCTTTGGGTTCATCATCTTCCCTTCATTAGTTTTTTTTTTTTTTTTGGTTCTCAAAATCTCACCTTTCTCTCTCTTTCAATCTTCCTTCAATGGAGCTTCTTCATTATGCAACGTTTTCAAGCAAACAAAAGCTACTCATTGTAGTGACCATTGCCATATCTCTCTTCACCATCATCCCTCTTCTCTACCCTTTCGTGGAAGATTCTAACTTCTTCCTCAAGCAACAACATCCAAGTCAAACCAGCATCATCAAGCTCCAAAACGGCGTCGTAACAACGCAAAAAAGCTGCGACATATTCTCGGGAGAGTGGATTCCTAACCTCGAAGCACCGTACTACACCAATACGACGTGCTGGGCGATACACGAACACCAAAACTGTATGAAGTTCGGAAGACCCGACACGGATTTCATCAAGTGGAAGTGGAAACCCGACGGATGCGAAGAGGACTTGCCGGTTTTTGACCCGTTTCGGTTTCTTGAGATCGTGAGAGGAAAAACCATGGCGTTTGTTGGGGACTCCGTCAGCAGAAACCACATGCAATCTTTGATCTGCCTTCTCTCTCAGGTAACAACAAGAGAGGTTTCTTACGTTACTTTCTAGTTGTTGTTTTGTTCGTTTTAATTAGTATTTATTTGTTTGATGTGTAAATATTGCTTAATTTAGGATTTAAACTTCTCCTTTCTTTCCTTTTCACATATTTTTGAATTTTAGTTTAACAAGTAGTGATTTCAAATGGTGTAGTTGAACTGATCGGCGTATTATATTTCACTTTTCACTAAACCCTCTTACGACAGTTTCAAGTGTAACGACCCAAATCAAAAGCATAAAAATCAGCAAATCTTATTTTACTACTCATGCATCAAATGAATCATATAACCACTCTTGACTTCGAAGTAACATTCTAATCAGTGATCTCACTTAAATGATTAGGACATATGTATAGTTTAATTATTAGTCGAAGTTACACTTTTGATTAAGTAGTATAAACGAAGTTAGATGTTCATCATTACTTTGATCTTATACCATTATATTTAAAAGTGTCTGCATATACATGTATCTTATTACATAAATATAGCTCAATTATTTATTTATTTTTGTTCAAACACTCAATTATTTATTTATATTTAAATAAAAGATTGGTATGTTGATAAAGGTGACTTTGGTTCACCGGTGCCACAATTATTGGGTTGTAGTAGTAATCACTCCAAACTACTCTTCAAAGAGCAACAAAAGTCTTTGGTTAAAAAATTGTTCAAAATTCAAGAGTGAAACCAAATTAATTTGTTTCATATTTAGTTTGATATCTGGATCCAAAATTTTCGTTCTGTCCGAATTATAGATCAATATTTACGTAATAAAAAGTAGATAATGAACATTTCAGGTTGAATATCCGGTGGATGCTTCGGTAAAGGCTGATGAGTATTTCAAACGATGGAGATACGAGACATACAATTTCACGATCGCAGCGTTTTGGACAACACACTTGGTAAAGTCCACAGAACCCGACACGTCCCATACTAATCTTTTTGATCTATACCTTGATGAGGCAGACGAGCGTTGGACAGCTGAGATAGGAGACTTCGACTACGTGATCATCTCCTCTGGCCATTGGCATTTCCGGCCATCGGTCTACTACGAGAACCAGACAATCACTGGTTGCCATTATTGCCAACTACCCAACATAACCGATCTCACAATGTTTTACGGCTACAGAAAAGCGTTTAGAACGGCGTTTAAAGCCATCTTGGACTCGGAGAATTTCGAGGGCGTAATGTATTTACGGACATTTGCCCCGTCGCATTTCGAGGGTGGGTTATGGAACGAAGGAGGAAACTGTTTGAGGAAACGACCTTACCAGAACGACGAGACACAAGACAGAATTACAATGAGGCTACACAAGATCCAGCTGCAAGAGTTTGGGAGAGCTGAAGAAGAAGCCAAGAAGAAAGGGAAGAGGCTAAGACTTCTAGATACGACCCAAGCGATGTGGCTTAGACCCGATGGTCACCCGAGCCGCTACGGCCATCTTCCCGAGGCTAATGTTTCCTTGTACAACGACTGTGTCCACTGGTGCCTGCCCGGTCCGATCGATAACCTCAATGACTTCTTGCTCGCTATGCTCAAGAGAGAAGAAGGCAAGGGATTATTGGCTCAAGCTCGGAAAAAGTTGTCCTAATGAAACCAAACCAAATCAACTCTTCTGCTATCTCTCTCTCTCTCTCTCTCTCTCTCTCTCTCTATGATCCGTTTTTTCCCCCTGTTTAGATTGATTCTCAAATTTTCCTACTTTGGACGAATCATGTATAAATATACTAAGAGCAAACGAGAAAATTTGGTTTCAATATCAAAAATAGAAACGAGCAGAAGCGGTAGCTTAGTCCACAAGCATCTCAGCTGTTTCTTCCGGTTTATGCTTTTTGAGAGAGATTCTATTACGTCTTGGGAAGGAGACTGCGTGATCAAAAAGCAATCCTGGCCATTCAGGGACATCTGGTTTGTTGACACTCTCAGTCGGAGTGACTAAGAAAACAAAGTAACGGTAGCCGTCACTCAACCTTTCAAGCCGATTGTTGAAGTAGTCCCCTCTGAATTGATCTGAGACTACGATCACGTTTAATTGATAAGATTCCTCCGCCTCAATAGAGCCGATTACCAGTATAAGAATGTCATTCAACATTCTATTACGTCTCGAGGCCCCGCCGGGAAGAAAGTAGAGTCTGGAAGGCCACGTCTTGTTACGCAGATGCTCACCAGTCCAAGGCCCGTTCTTCTCATCAACGTAGGCCCAGATTTTAACATCAGTACCACTGTTTCTTTTACGAAGAGCTTCGTAGATTCTGCTATAGATCTCATCAGGAGTGGAACCAATAGGGAACGGGCAATCCCCGACGTCCCAGAAGACGACTGTCCTATCGTTCTCTTGGACGGGTGGGATAGGCTCTGCAAGGCATAAACGAAGTACGATATAAAGATGATCCACGAACGCCATAAATTATGTCCACAGGCATTCTAAAATCAGCCACACAGAATTCGCCTGAAGCGATATAGAGATATATGGCAGAGATGTCGATTAAGAAGACATCAAAGTAAGTAAGAAACGACAAGAATGTTATGAGTAAAGGAATTTACTTTTCGGTACGTACGTGATTGCTTCCTTAGCCAACTCCCCTAGGTCGTAGGGCACACGGCCACCATACGCCCAAATTTGGTCACGCCCAGAGAAGCCCATCTTCCTAAGAGCGGCTACGATAGTCGGACGAATAGAACGAATATCGACACCAGGAGGGATTGGGTAGTCATCCATGTTCCACATGACGATCATACGATCATCTTCAAAAGATACAATGATGCATTAGCCATTGTTTTGATCGATTAGATCTAAACAAACAGTTTCGGGATCTTACCGTTGGAGAAGTACTCAGTCTCGGATTCGCCCATGCTTGGTTCCACGGAGAGAATTGGAGACTTTCTCGCGCTAAATTAGGGTTAGATCAGGGATTCTCTTGAATGTCTAGTCCGGCTTTTTCCTCTTTTGTTAGTTTCGGTTTGGAGTTTTATGTATTTAACATTTAAACCGAATCTCATCTGATTTGGTTTCGGTTTAGAATCCAGTTTTTGTGTGTCTGTGTGTGAGAGAGTGTAGAGATATAAAGAAAACCACGTTTTGTTTAGGTGCCGCCTTTGGGTTAAAATTTAGGTGCCGACATCGGCGGCCCAGGCTAGAAGTCCGGCCATAGCTTCTCTCACTTCTTCTCCGTCTCTCTGTTTTGACACAGACAAGCCTCTCTCACAGGACGATCGAAGCGCTAAACCGAGGCGCTAAACCGAGGCGATTGGTGCTTAAACCGGGGTGGCTCGGTGGCTATCACATGAATTATTCTATTAGTTGATGATAACATATTAAGAAAATTATTTTATATTCTTAAATATCACATAAATTCTGTGTTATTTTTTGTTTTATGGAAATGTGATAAAATTTCCTTGTTTTAACTATATTTTAGAAATGTAATATGCATTGAAAGCAACATTTCCAAAGTAATTTAAAAATATGAAAATAAATTAATAAAATTAATTATTATCCTTTCCATATTCAATTAAATAAATTAATAAAATTACAAAAAAATATAATATGCATTATCGCGTGTTTGCAATTACAATCAACTTTCAACGCCGACATCATCATCTCCGGGTCAGATGGACCTGACCCGCATTCCTGGAGAACTCATCTGATCTCTTCGCTCAGCGATCTCGGCGTCACCCTCGATTTCCCTTCCTCTAATCTCAGTTTCTTCCTCGTCGGAGGAATCCCGTTTGTCACTTGCTCCGTAGGTAGCTCCCCGATCACAATCTCAACGATTCACGCGGTTTTATCGTTCAACGGAAACAGCTCATCTACCAAATTCACCGCGAGGCTCAACAACTATCAGACATGGCTGATTTACGCCTCTTCGCCGATTAATCTGGCCCAAAACGGAGGTTCTACGATTAATTGCGCTGGTGGGTTTTTTTCGGGTGTCATCCGGATCGTCGTGTTAGCGGATTCGAATTCAGATTTCGAACCAAACCTCGACCGATTCAGTTGCTGTTACCCAATTTCCGACTAAATTCAATTAAACCGCGTTGAGTCGAGAAAGCTCTACCTGAAAATAGGGTTTTCGCTCGGTTCTTTTTGTTTCAAAAATAAAATTGTTGGGTTATTTGGTTCAGATTGAATTGGTTATTTTGGATATATATAAACCATGCAAACCATAATAAAATCATACCAAACCATTCGTTTCTTAAATAGACCAGCTAAAACACGTACTGAGTTGTAGTAAACTTGAATCATGTCAAATTAGTTGTTGAGTAAACCCACTTGACTCAGTTCGATTTATTATTTTATTTAGAACCTAGAAATTTCGTTTCAAACTTAAACATATATACAGTAAAGAGAAATTCACAAACATATTTGGAAAAAACAACAAGTGAGTTTCACTTACATGACACACACGAAAGTTACTGATAACGCCGGTGACCTTATCGGCAAGCCAGTGACTTGTCGGTATTGAAGAGAAGAGAAAAGGAGAGTTTGAAATTTTGTTGATTAATTTACTAAAAAGCTTGTACAATCGTTGTTCTCACCAAAATACAGAAAGTAAAGCAAGGAATGTTATAATTGTAACTAAACATAAATCCTAAATGGGTTTGGGCTTCATTCTTCGTTATAGAACTCGTAGGCCTAATTACAGCTCTTATCAGTTACAAGAGAGACTGTTAATTTCATTAGGAGGGCCAGTCAAATCGTTGATCAATTATCATTCTTAGATGGTCATTTTAATGTGAGGAATACGTAGCTAGGGAATTGTAATCGTGGGCATCGACATCGACTTAAACGATAACAAACAAATATTTTTTTTTTTATCAATGGTACATGAAAACGAAATAAACAGACACCATAATAGTTGGTGTTGCTTGTAAAATCAACAATAGTTTTTAGTTTTTTTTTTTAAATAGTTTTGACGATGATTATTAATTCAATTATTAAAGACTAACACAAATCATTAAGCTTGTAAAATTATACTTGTAAAATTATAGTGATGATTCTTTTTTTCGTCCAAATAAATCTTCAACTTTAATAATCACTTAAAACAAACAGCCAACGAGTTAGCTTTTCTGGATACAATGATGAAATTAAACTGACAAAAGCTATAGATGTAGGATGTCAAGAACAATCTCATGGAACTCTTTAGAAAGAGTCTCTGAACATTTCTGTAAATCAGAAGCTAAATGAATATTTGTATAACCCAAATCGATGGCTTGCTTGATTGCAAGGAGGATGGCTGATGCTTCCGTTAATGATGGCAATCGAATATTGCTTGAAACAGTTGACGCCTTACAGGGCTACATATATTCAACATCTCCATAAAAAGAGGGTAATGGAAGATTCAACATCTTCATAAAAGATGGGTTGAATGGGATGGGTCTCTCCACAAAGGAGGAGGTGTGTCTCTCCTTTAAGGAATAAAATGCTCTCATCATAAGGAAGGATGGTCCTGACTCCACCACCTACAGATCATTACTGATGGAGGCTTGTAAGAAGGGAGATGCGGTCAAGACAGAGGGGATTTCCAGTGATGTGAGATCTAGGGATGTTGTTCCGGATTGTGTCCGCTTTAGCTTAATAATGAGTATTTTTGCTCCGAGTGGAGATCTCGACAAAGGCATTAGTGTGTTTTCAACAGTGCGGGGACGAATCCGGACAATGTGATGTACACAACTCTTATCCAAGGCTATTGTAGAAAAGGTATAATCTCTGAAGCTATGGAGTTAGAAAATGTTGGGTGAACCGAATACTTTGTTCAAAGAGATGACTGAAAGCGGTTTATTTCCAGACTCTTACACTGTAACCATACTTATTGATGGACTCTCTAAGCTCGGAGATCTTCCAAACGCAATGGAGCTTTTTAATAAGATGAAGCAGAAGAAAATCAAACTCGATGTTGTGACATACAACACGCTTTTGAATGGGGATTTGGTAAAGTAGGCGACATCGATACAAGCAGATACTTCCTACTCCAATATCGCGTTGTGCAGTAAAGGCCATCTTTGTGGAGCATTTCGAGTTTGGGATGAAATGATCAGTAAATGTATAAAGCCAACGATCATGATTTGTGATAAAGGGATACTGCCACTATGGTAATGCGTCGGATGGAGAAAGCTTTTTGGACAAGATGATCTCGAAAGGTTTTGTGCCAAATATCAACAATTACACCACATTTATATATAGTTTTGTTAAAAAAAGATAACATGAGCAAAGCTTTTGGGTTTGGTGAAGAAAATGGAGGAGAAGCAAGGAGGATTAGTTCCTGATGTCTTTACATACAACTTGATCCTATCGTGGGTTTTGTAGACAAAGTCAGATGAAAGAAGCTGAGGTTGTACTGAGGAAGATGATTGAGAGAGTTGTGAATCCTGATAGGTCAACGTGTACTTCTCTGATCAGTGGATTTGTTTCTCAAGATAAGTAATCGAGACGTTTCTGTTTCACGATGAAACAGAGATGTTGCAGAGAGGATTTTCTCCTCATGGTCATTTCTGATTTTACTGTTTGCAAAATGGACCTCTGGATGGGATGAGACGGTGAAGGTTGCAGCTCACGTTTTTATACAAAACGGTTCCTGAAATTTACAACATATATTCACATCATACCCCACATCATTTAGTGGGGGTTATTGGTAATATGATTTTAATGAGTTTAGAAAAATCAACCAAATTCAGTGTTAATAATTATAAGATGATTAAAATCTATATTTAAATTCAATATTATTGCTTATATGATTTTAAATTTTATATTCTAATTTTGTGTTATTGGTTCATGATTTTAAAATCATAAATTTATTTTTAAAGAGAATTTTAGTAGATTTGGAAGGATTTTCATGTTAAAAATACAGCTTAAACCTATGATTTTGTAGATTTTAAAAATCAATAATTTTACAAAGATTATATGGATTCTTAAATCAACAAAATATATAAACCAATAACACTCTCTTAAGTCTTTTTCTGTGTTTGATCCATTTTTTCCTGTTTTTATTGATTCTAATTTTTCGTACTAGAGGAAACAGGAACTCAGTTCCGGTACTTTATAATTTTTAAACACGAGCTATATATATTCCATCTTGTACAACGAAACAAGAAAATTTGATTTCAATATCAAAATAGAAATGAGCAGTGACGACGGTGGCATAGAAAATACATTGTGGCTGATGACCATAGAGAGCAATCCGTACCATACGCGTTTAATCCGGAATAAAACGTGATTAGACGAAAGCTTACCTTTTTTGTTTTGAGGCTCAAGAAAGTCAAAACAATTAATAAAAGAGAATGTAATAGAATTAACGTAACAGTTTGCAGTTTAAAATGAGGAAATAGAAAAGTTCAAATAAAACAGAGTTTTTTTGATACAAATACGCTGCAATGCACCCATCCACGGCTACGAACAGACGCGCTAGCTAGTGCACATATCAGCCCGACCTCTCTCAGCTGTTTCTTGGGCCGCATCCGGTTTATGCTTTTTGAGAGGAGGAGGCGTTACTTCGGCCGCCGCAGGGATTTGGGGTCTTGGGAAGGAGACTACGTGATCTAATAGCAATCCTGGCCATTCAAGGACATCTGGTTTGTTGACACTCTCAGTCGGAGTTACTAAGTAAACAAAGTAACGGTAGCCGTCACTCAACCCTTCAAGCCGATTGTTGAAGAAATCCCCTCTGAATTGATCTGAGACTACGACCACATTTGATTGATAAGATTCCTCCGCCTCATCAGAGCCGATTACCAGTATAAGAATGTCATTCAACATTCTATTACGTCTCGAGGCCCCGCCGGGAAGAAAGTAGAGTCTGGAAGGCCACGTCTTGTTACGCAGATGCTCACCACTCTTCTCATCAATGTAGGCCCAGATTTTAACATCACCACCACAGTTTCTTTTACGAAGAGCTTCGTAGATTCTGCTATAGATCTCATCAGGAGGGGAACCAACAGGGAACGGGCAATCCCCGACGTCCCAGAAGACGACTGTCCTATCGTTCTCTTGGACGGGTGGGATAGGCTCTGCAAGGCAAAACGAAGTACGATATAAAGATGATCCATTATTAATCCAGGGAAACCCAAACAATACCAATTTCGGGGTCTCACCGGAGAAATCTATTATCTTGGAGATATCTGTGCTAGCATCCTCCCAACTGTCTATGCTGTTTCCTCCATCGGAAGAAGATTCGTTCTTGAAAAATTCTTCAAAAACAGCTTCGTCTACGCCGGAGCTGTTTATGTTTAGAGGCTTTCCTCCACCAAAAACGCGTGTACGATCAACAAGTGATTGTTCAGACTGGAATGGACTTTCTTGTGCTGCGGTGTCGTCATCTACTAGGACGAGAATGATGTGATCCCTCGATTTCAAACACTGCTGAACCCTGTACAACTCGCTTTCTGGTCTTTGTTTCGCCATCACGAAAGCATTTGTTGATGCACGAAGGCCATAAATCATGTCCACAGGCATTATAAAATCAGCCACATAGAATTCGCCTGAAGCAATATAGAGATATATGGCAGAGATGTCGATTAAGAAGACATCAAAGTAAGTAAGAAACGGCAAGAATGTTATGAGTAAAGGAATTTACTTTCCGGTACGTACGTGATTGCTTCCTTAGCCAACTCCCCTAGGCCGTAGGGCACACGGCCACCATACGCCCAAATTTGGTCACGCCCAGAGAAGCCCATCTTCCTAAGAGCGGCTACGATAGTCGGACGAATAGAACGAATATCGACACCAGGAGGGATTGGGTAGTCATCCATGTTCCACATGACGATCATACGATCATCTTCAAAAGATACAATGATGCATTAGCCATTGTTTTGATCGATTAAATCTCAACAAACAGTTTCGGGATCTTACCGTTGGAGAAGTACTCAGTCTCGGATTCGCCCATGCTTCGTTCCACGGAGACAAGTGGAGACTTTCTCGCTAAATTAGGGTTACACCAGGGACTGAATGTCAAGTCTGGCTTTTTCCTCTTTTGTTATATTTTGGTTTGGAGTTTTTGCAGCGTATTGAACATAGAAACCGAATCTCATCTGATTTGGTTTCCTTTTAGGATCCGGTTTTTGTGTTTGTTGTGTGTGTGTGTGTAGAGAGATATAAAGAAAACCACGTTTTGTTTTGGTACGCCTTTTGTTAAAATTAGTTCAAAATTCACTGATTTATTTCATAGTATTTAGTTTGATATCTGATCCAAACTTGTTAGAATTTTATATGCAGTGTTTTGACCCACTTATGCAAAATAAAAGCACAAGAGAGCACTCGTGCACACAATGTCTCAAAAGGAGATCTTGATGAAAACCAGGACGTGCAAAGCCAAAATGTAGACGACAAAGGCTGACCTCAGATACATAAGCCTTGTCTGGGTTTCATTTCTTGTAGCAGATGAATATGGAAGGTAGGAATGAGCATCAACTTCGTGGTCTGATCCAAATCCCCTATCTGAGTTTGTTCTCTTGAATCTGTTCCTTGCAGTATTCCCCTCAACGTTTAAGCTCTCATATCTTCTCGACAGATTGTTTAGCCTCTCTAACTCCATCTCATTCGAATGAAATCTCGCCAACAATCCCCTCTGCTTGTGCCTGATAGGCATATCAAAAGTTTCTGTTAAGAGACAGTCTAAAGGGGAAAAACGTATATTGATTTGGCTTGAGATGGACCTGCTTTGCAGCTAATTGCTCGATTAGACTATGAAGTTGTTTGTCCAGTGTCTTCTCTCTTTGAGCTGTGAAACCAAAACCTTCTCAGTCAGATAATGTGAATGAATCTTTCCAGGCAACCAAAAATAGATCTCTATTCGATTCTTACTGAACATAAGCTATCTAACTTAAGTTTTTTAGCTTCAGATAAGTTGGAGACAAGAGGGTCTCAAATGGTGATAATGTAGTAACTTATGACACCTCAGATTGAAGTTTCGCATGTGAGAAGATAAAGGAAGTTGAGAATTACAATAAGTACCTGGAGAAGGCTGCTTCAGTGCTCTTTCCTGTATGACAGCCCAACTCCTCTCTAACTCCTGAACCTTCTCTTCTATTGAACTCTAGAGAATTAAATTAAACTTACACCGCAGTCAGATATGTAGAGGATTAGAGAATTCGATACCAATGAAAGTTAAAATGAAAACTAACCAAATCGCAATCTACTTGGATGGGTTTGACCGCATAGAAAAGCAGCGCATCAGGGTCGAATCTTCCATCTTTGACGCTCGTATGACTGACCCATATGAGCTACACAAGGTGCACTGGGCAAGACTCAGATCAGATATCTAGACATGACTTCAGCTGGTGAGCGCTTCAAGCTGCAATTGACAGGAGCGGAATTAAAACACGGGAAGATTTTTCTAGTGCTGGGAGAGAACGGTACAGGGATGACCACCTTCATCCGATTGCTGGTAGAGTATATCAATATAATATGCCTTTTTTCATTGTTGGTTTATATACATACTCTCCTTAGATTCTTAACCAAAGATTTCTCTGTAGGCCGATTTGCGTCCACCTGGCAAGGTAAAAGGTGTAGAACGGTGGTCGCCTTCGTAGACGGTGTCATACAAACCGCAACTAACAAGCTGAGCCGATCCCGTCGGAATGTGATATTCTCTTTTCCACTCTTATCGTTGCCTTAAAAAAGAGCTACTTGCCTTTACTTGTTCTGCTATGCTCTGCTTATGCATGGCTTTCTTCAAGGTTTGATTATTGTTTTTTTCTTTGCTGATAAATAAAATACATACAAAGGATTTCTTGTTTATGTGTTCATACAAAGTACTTCTTCTTTAGGGTTCTCAATTTCCGTTATGTTTTGGATTCATCTAATATTTGCAGTTTGAAGATTTATGTGTATATATCTAATAATCACAATCGTCTCGGATAACAGGGTTTTAAGTGTTGTTACGGTGTCTATCAATCGCGACTAAAGGAAGCATTTTAAAAAGAAAAAAAAAAATTAGAGAACTGTAGTTTTGAATGTTTTGTGTAAGTATCTTTCTTGTTATTTATTTTTTGTATGGATTAAATGGATTTTTTTTTTTTTTTTTTTTGTAAAAGAAAATTCATAATGTTCCTTACGAAATGATGGAAGAGACGTGTCAACAAGTTTGGATAAGGTGGCTCCAGTTTATCTTTGTTTATTGATTTGGTTAAAACATTTAGTTTCTCAAAGTACGTTTATGATGCTTGTTTATATTTTTTCTGTCAACGATCACACGGTAGAAGCTAAAATTATAAAACAGGAATGATTTCTGGAAATTGTTATTTAAGACAAGAAAATATGATTCTTAATTGAGTTGTTTGCTTTAAATCTTTCATTATTTACCAACAAAAACTTGTACTAATAAACATTTGGTTGTCAAAAGAAATACGTTATTACCATTTGTATACGGGTGATGCCAAAAGAGAGAAGATTAACATGTTACTCCAGTATGTTCTAGTGGTTGGTGGGTGTGCCACTGCCACATGATCCTGAGCTTGTGAAAGTGATGGATTCTCTCTAACATTCTGAAATATTCGTCACATGTGGGACCCACGACCACGAGTTTTCACATCTAAACCCTCCATGATTTGCTAGTAATAATAGCTACCAAGTCTACTCCAATTTAAAATAAACAAAATTTGTTCCAAATTAATATCTCCCCGATTTACAATTTCATTTGATTTTTCCATTTCCATATCATTAGCGTTAAATAAATTATTGTATTAATTTCAATTTATATCTAGTTTCCTCCTGGTGAAGGGAAACGAAAAGCGCACAAAAGCTTTACAAAGAGTTTGAATTTTTTGAGAGAGAACCAACACAGGACGAATCTTTGTATTGTGTTGGAATTCTCTCATTGCAGTGGGTGAATTTCACTGCGTAGATGCATTCGCCTATGGAGACTCAGCAGCCGGAGCGATTCCGGCCGATGACCTCGACGGTATCGGAGATCGAGGAGGTTATACCCGAGGAGTCCGATAGAACCACTCTCCTTAACGGCTCTAACGGTTTGTCTTCACCCGAACCGGTGCGTCGTCGAGTGTCCGGTAAGCTGCCGGTGGACGGAGGACCTCGCCGGATTTGCCGGCAGCAGTCGTTCGGCCAAGAGATCGGCCACGCGGCGGCTGAGACGTACCTAATCACTGGTCTTAGCTTCAAACTTCTTCGATACCTCGGGTACTCATCTCGATTTTTCCCGGTTTTGGGATCAGGTGTATTGATGATTACGCATAACAAGTTGGTGATTTGTTATAGATATTGGCTGGCTTTGAGCATTTCGTGGGCGGTTTTGTTTAGTATAAATATCTTAATTGTTGCTTGTTTTGGAAAGAATCCATGGAATTAATCTGTCGTATGTTTGCAAGTTGCGTGAGTTTTTGGAACTTTTGGCTCTAATCAGGAAGTTACTCCATGTGCTGTTGATTCACTCTTGATCTATTGAACATGTGATAACTTAGTTGCAGAGACTCGCATTTAGTTCCTGTATCTTGAGAGCCTTTGAAATATGATTTTACCTTTTTTGTTTTTGTTTTCTAAATCAGCAAGAATTGATTTAATTGCTGAAGTCTTGTTCAGGGTAGGTTATCGATGGATGACAAAATTACTTGCCCTTACATGTTATGCTGTGCTGCTTATGCCTGGCTTTCTTCAAGGTTTGTTTTTTTGTGCGTTTGTCTTTGCTGATAAGTAAATACTTTGAAAAGACTTCTTCAAGATGCTGTCTTTTGGAAAATTAGCCTTTTGATTTCTCATCCCAAGTTTGTTTTATCTTCTGCAGTTGCATATATTTATTTTTTCTCATCACAAGTCCGGAGGAGTGTAGTGTATGGAGATCAACCAAGAAATAGGTTTGTGTGTGAACTGAATAGAATCTTACTTTCTCATTTCACCTCGGCCTAAAGCGGTATGTCAAATACCTGCTCTTATCATATCACCTATGTCTGAGACTGTCGATGTATTGCATGTATGAACGACGATTCGGTAGGCTGGATCTGTACTTACCAAGCAACAACGATGGCTTGAAGCCGGTTGTGGTTTTCGTGACTGGTGGAGCTTGGATTATTGGGTGAGTAGCACATTGGAGTTACAACATTCTCCTCTTCATAAGATTGAAGTTCATTCCCTTTTCTATTTCTGTGCATGTATTTTGGTGTTCATGTTTGCTACTCTTGTGCTGATATATAGGTACAAAGCTTGGGGCTCGCTCTTAGGAATGCAACTAGCAGAAAGGGATATCATCGTAGCATGCCTTGACTACAGGTAACTAAAGCACACAATTCAATCAAATCCAGTGTTCTTTTAAATGTACTCCCTTGCTCTGTATTTTATGTATGTGGTAAAATCCACACAGAATCAAAACCTTGGAGCTTTTTGATAATCTATATCAATCCCTTCCTTTTGGTCCAGAAACTTTCCTCAGGGAACAATTAGTGATATGGTGACGGATGCTTCTCAAGGAATCTCATTTGTCTGCAATAACATATCTGCATTTGGAGGTGACCCCAACAGGTTTCAACTCATTGGCTTTGGTTTTGTTTACCATTTGATTGATCTTCCCAACTTGGTCTCGGATATTGAACTGCATGTGCTTGTTGTTTCTGTAGGATCTACCTGATGGGGCAATCAGCTGGTGCCCATATAGCCGCTTGCGCTCTGTTGGAACAAGCTACTAAAGAATCAAAAGGAGAGAGCATCTCTTGGAGGGTTTCCCAAATAAAAGCTTATTTCGGATTATCTGGAGGGTACAATTTTCTAAACTTTGCTTTTAGATTTTCCCGTTTGTTTCAATGTGCTTTTTGGTACACATCAGTTAATCTGCTTATCGATTGAACTTAAACAGGTACAATCTATACAATTTGGTTGATCACTTCCATAATCGGGGCCTGTATCGATCCATCTTCTTAAGGTAAGTTCTCTCAGTCAAATCAAATCCGAAACGCAGTCTCATCAGTTAATATATTTGCTAATGTTCAACTCCAACTTGTAGCATAATGGAAGGAGAAGAGTCGTTTGAAAAATTCTCTCCGGAAGTAAGATTGAAAGACCCAGTTGTTGGAAAAGCCGCGTCTCTGTTGCCTCCTATTATGCTTTTCCACGGATCCTCAGATTATTCCATACCATCTGATGCAAGGTTTATCATAAATGATCATCCTCTCGAAGCCATACATTGCTAATCAATCCTTTGCTTTTACTAAAACCACCTCTTTTTTGCAGCAAAACTTTTACAGACGCTCTCCAAGCTGTTGGAGCCAAAGCCGAGCTCATTTTATACAGCGGAAAAACACATACTGATTTGTTCCTTCAGGTAAGCCACAGAAACTACTTCACATTGAGTCTCACACACACTTGCTTAGCTCAGTGTTGGTATACTAAACTTAAACACGTGAGAGTATTTGATTGTAGGATCCCTTAAGAGGTGGTAAAGACGAACTCTTTGATGACATAGTCTCTGTGATACACGCGGGAGACAATGATGCGCTGAACAAAGACACATTGGCTCCTCCCAGAAAGCGTCTTGTCCCAGAGTTGTTGCTGAAACTGGCTCGTGAGGTTAGCCCCTTCTGACCGCCAAAAACAAAATTTAAAAGAATCTTTGGTTACTTCCTCTGTATTTTCATCTTTCTGTTATTCGATTTGCTTACATAGTTATATATAAATAGAAAACTCTCACCTGTTATGTTGTTAGTAACCCCCTTTTAACCCAGACTTTTAATCAACAAGAGCAAAATAGCTTATCTATCTAACTTTTAAAGTGTGAGACTGACGTTGGGCTTCAAAATCCTAAACTTTGTAGATCCACCAATTTCATTTGACACACATCAATACGATCACTTCCACAACTTTGAAATCTAGAAAAAGCTAAAATTGGTGATGTCCAGTTTTATTAGTCTCAAAAGAGGATAGAAATGTGACGACACTTAGCATGTTTTGTTACTAAGAAAATGATGTGATCATATGCAAATTGGATTTGTATTTTCATTTTTTTTAATCACCTTTGGACCCACCACGATTTGCCAACTTGTGGCTCATGTTCTTCAATCTTTGGACTCGAAGTCACTTGGCATATTCCAATTGGCTCACTCGGATCTCCACCGTTTGCCACATATGCTTGACCGACCTCATGTGGAAGTAAACAAACTTCGGACAGGGCATCATATTATCTTCTCCATATCACCAAAGAAGACAGCATCATACTAAAACCAAATGTTTGAAACTTGAGAATCATCACTTTATTAACAATGATAAACACTTTACATACCATTTATCTTTTTTTATTTGAAATCATTCTAAAAAGGTGCTAGCTGCAATAACTTGTGGAACCATGATCGTAACACGATGCCCTATGGGACTCAAGGTGTTTGTTGCTCTGGAGAAAAACCTGAACAGTTAAAACATGACAGAAGCTAAGAATCAGGATAAAACTTTCGAAGGCTAATGGTCAAAGAGCTAGTCAAGTTTCCAGCTTTACCAAAATAGTAGTAGATAGTACCAAAATAGATAGAAAGTTGCAACCTTGATGCTTCGTGTCTGTAACATCAGTGATGTGTCATTCATGGGCCAGAAGCTAGGCAACATGTTGATGGCCGATGGGTCCCTTAGGAGAATACATAGGAAGAGGTGACTACACTGCAGAGAGAGAGAGAGAGAGAGAGAGAGAGAGAGAGTAGTAACTGTTGGTGTAGCTCTCTTCTTCAATGTTAAGATATAATAAGAAGAAGAAGACTACAGTAGTTCACTTGTTTTTTCCTAATGGCTGATTTTTTTCAAAAGCCAAGGTCAGCATCAATGGACTGGACCCCATACACAGCCCTCCTCAGAAACTCAGCCAGCCACAAGATAACCAAACAACTTTTCAAGGCCACAAACTTCTCGCCACGTGTCATCCCTCCATGATTCTATCCTTCCTTTTTGCCTTATTAGTCCCTGCTCCCATATACAATCTCCCTCACCTACAAAAAAAAAACTAATACACATCTGAGTTTATTGTTATGCTGAAAGAAGAGAGTAATTGGGCTCAAGCCTGTGATACATGCCGCTCAGCCGCCTGCACAGTGTACTGCCGGGCTGATTCTGCCTACTTGTGCACGAGCTGTGATGCTCAAGTCCATGCTGCCAATCGTCTTGCTTCCCGCCACGAACGTGTCCGAGTCTGTGAATCATGCGAGCGAGCCCCTGCTGCCTTCTTCTGCAAGGCAGATGCCGCGTCTCTCTGCACAGCCTGCGATTCACAGATTCATTCCGCAAACCCACTTGCTAGGCGCCATCAACGAGTTCCAATTCTGCCTATTTCTGGCAGCTCTTACGGTTCCATGGCCACTAACCATTCAAGCGAGACAACAACAGTGAAGACAGGACCACAGAACAGAGTGGTGGTGGTGGGTCAAGAAGAGGAGGATGAAGATGAAGCAGAGGCTGCTTCTTGGTTGTTGCATAATTCAGGTAAAAACAGTGGTAACAACAACAACAACAACAACAGTCAGAACAATGGGTTCTCGATTGGTGACGAGTATCTGGACCTTGTCGATTACAATTCGAGTTTGGATAAGCAGTTCACAGATCAATCCAATCAGTATCAACAAGACTGCAACGTACCTCAGAGGAGCTATGGGGGAGATGGAGTTGTTCCACGTCAAGTCGAAGAATCAAATGGTCACGAGCATCACAACTTTCAGTTTGGTTTCACCGATGTGTCCTCAGGAGCTGATCCAAGTTCCATTGGTTCCGCAAGTCATATGGTAAGTTTTATCGGAGTTGTGCCAGAGTCAACAACGAGTGACACAACAGTATCACACCCAAGATCGCCCAAAGCGGTAACGGAACAGATACTTGACCCTCCAGCTCAGATGCTGAGTCCAATGGACAGAGAGGCCAGGGTCCTGAGATACAGAGAGAAGAAGAAGACGAGGAAGTTTGAGAAGACGATAAGATATGCTTCGAGGAAAGCGTATGCAGAGACAAGACCACGGATCAAAGGCCGGTTTGCAAAGAGGAAAGAAGTCGATGCAGAGGCAGACCAAGACTTCTCCACTATGATAATGTTCGACACAGGATATGGGGTTGTTCCATCATTCTGATATGCTGCTATGTCTGAACTAGATTACTTGCAAGTTATTACCACTGTAATGAATATAGGTCTGTGTTTTTGTATAACTACTACGGATTAATTAGATATATTCTTATGTTGCCCCTCTAGTTAATACAAAGTTTTTGCCCACTTGGTAGAAATGTGAGCAACCACATAGAATACTTTTAGCTGTAGAGAGATATGCGCTGTGACAAGATCAGTTAACACGGAACTCGCTTTCTTGGTGATACTTTGCCACATCACTTGAACACGTAGAAGATAATTGATTCCACTTGTGCTGCCCTGAGAAAAGAAGGTTGTACACAACACAAGATCACACACTGAATAGTCATTTTCAGTAACATAGTCAGATAGCAAAAAAAAAAAACGAGAACCCTGAGTGAACACAAAGCTACTAGGTATAGTTACATCAAAGCATATTCTTGTTCCTGAGTAGCATTGGATCCTGAGAATATGTCAATGCCTATGTATCATCAGTACCATCCACATAAACAAAAGATACTCGTTACTTGCTCTGTCTTTTAGAATAAAGGGGGTATAGTAGTAGCTCACTTTTCCAAGGCATATGCTTGGCATTAAAGAATACGGAGGCGTGAGAAATAAAGGTCATGACACTGTAGCCTTCACTTTTTTGCCACCTGGAAATGACCACATATAGAGCTCAACTTATCTTCCCACTAGGGCACTTTCCCACTTCCCAATTGCTGTACAGATTCGTTTTGGCCATAACTGATCAGTGATCTGGTTTGATCATGTACCACAAACTTATAACCATGCAATCAAATCAAAGATATCGCATGCTGCATGCATATAATACTAACAAGGAGGATACAAAATTGCAATGACAACCAGTTTGAGAAACTAACGAATTTTAAGAGCCAGTTCATGAGTGTGAATAATTATTAAGAGACGATGGATTCGAGATATCACGTGAAAGTGCATAAAAGTGATTACCTTTTGCCAAAAGTCACTGCACTTTTCCTCAGATAGTTTCTTACAGCCATATAAAGTGGAGAATCCGCACAAAAAAAACTTACAGTTACAGTCTTTTATATGGTCCCTGGACTCTTGTTCTCTTCTCAGTCTTTTCAAGAAAATACGCTCCCCTCCTTAAATCTGAAAGAAGAAAAGTATTTGCAACCACGGGAAATTGATAAAAAATTAAAACAAATAAGCAATCTTGTTTTCTATCCTCAATCTCTAAAACCAAGTCACAATAGATCAAAGATGCATTTTTTTTTTTTTACAAACCACAGATAGGCAAAGAGAAATAATAAGCAAACCACTTCTTTCTTGAGCCACAAGTGAAAGAAAGAACACATTCCTCTTCATGAACTATAGTAACCACTTTTAAAATCTCCACTATATTCCGATCATTAAAGCGCTAAAAACAGAGATGCCTCAATTTATCCATTTACTTCTATGGAATATACATCAAACAGTGGCGGGATAATGATCTCCATATATGCTTACTGTTGAATCTTTTTTCTTTGGAGTTCAATGATCATGAAACTATTTCATAACATTTCTCCATGCCGCTACACACCTACTAAAACCAGTAAATAACAAGAAGAACTTCAACTTTTAAGTACCAATCACAGTTATAAATCTTCCCTTATGGGAAAGAAAAGTGTAGAGAAAAGAAAGAGGAAGAGATGCGAAAAGTGTATCCTAGGACCAGCCTTTTTATACAAGCAAACTCACTTTTCAGCGGTAGAGGCATAGAGTTGAAGGGAGCCACATGAATTTGGCCACTAGGGGCGTGTCCTACTCCTACAATCTCGTTCCTTTTGGACCACAAAATGGGTATCATACATCCACTGAACCCAAAAGCGTCATTGGAGCTAGTCTTCAAAACCCAGAGAGTATCATTTACTGTAGCTTCCACAAAGTAAACATTATTAGCATATCACCAACCAGGCAACTCCAAGTACAAGCAAACCCAAGATGCTGGATACACGAACGGGTCACCAGATAGTTTGCATCTGCTAACCAAAAAAACTAGTAAACAGAGGTGCTTTAACATTGCATCTACTGATCATATGGGCTAGTTAACGAGCATAGCCTAAAATTTTACAATTTCCTCTGTGATCCTAAAGACAATTTCCTGAAACTTTCCATCTCTGACCTGAAACACAGAGTATAAACGCTAATGTGGAAATATGAATGGCGCGTGACAGCTCTCAGAAATAACATTCCAAGTTTTAGTATGTATTAGATTACTTCCACAGGTTTAAGTCTATTAAAGCTACAATAAGAGCATTATCATATTCTCAAAATGTTACAGAGAGATGTCACCACACTCATGAGTCATGTTTGGTTGCTATGATGGTGATCAACTGCAAATTTTTACACAAAATATACGGACATGTGATAATAACTAACCTTGCTCCTTTCGGACTCCAGGTTTCCTTTCAACAGTTAGTGATGGCTCTGGGACTCGAAGCCTCACTCGGAGTTGTGCCTGGACATTTATCACAGGGTTCAAGAAGAATATTCAACTACGTAAACTTTGCCTGAAGCTAAAGAGAGAAATTATCTAGCTTTACTTGAAACAAATCCATATGAAAATAGTAAAAGGTGATACGAAAAATAGTAACACCGTGGTATTTATCCGGACCACTTCCTCTTGAGAATCTCTGTATGGCAACTTGGGAACGGGTCCCAACGAAAGGAGTACATACTTACATAAGAGGAGATGTTTACACGTTTACACATAAGCCTTCCCAAAAGCTGAGCGAGCCGCAAGGTGATCCAATAACTATGTGCCACGTGTAAGCATCAAGGATTCGATATCTCTACTCTGCTTATTCCTCTCTCAACAGGTATTGGCTTTATTAGCCCCTTCTTCCAAGACACAAACTCCCACACCATCAAACTTACTACATCCGAGTATTATCAACTAATTATGTTGAAACAAGAGAGTAACGAGATTGGTGTTGGGGACAACAACAGGGCACGAGCCTGTGACACATGCCGGTCGACCGCCTGCACCGTCTACTGCCACGCTGACTCCGCCTACCTGTGCACGCGCTGTGATGCTCAAGTCCACTCCGCCAATAACGTTGCTTCCCGCCATAAGCGTGTACCGGTCTGCGAGTCATGTGGGCGTGCCCCGGCCGCTTTTCTCTGTGAGGCAGATGATGCTTCTCTTTGCACAGCCTGTGATTCAGATGTTCATTCCGCAAACCCACTTGCTAGACGCCATCACCGAGTTCCGATTTCTGGAAACTCTTACAGATCCATGGCCAATCACCACCAATGCGAGACGACAATGACCAATCCAGAGACAAGACTGGTGGTACGTCAAGAGGAAGGTGATGAGGATGTCAAAGAGGCTGCCTCGTGGCTGTTCCCTGACTCAGATAAAAATAGTGGGAGTCACCATGACAATGAGTTATTGTTTAGTGATGAGTATCTAGACCTTGATGATTACAACTCGAGTATGGACTACAAATTCAAAGGTCAACACATTCAACATCAACATCAGCAAGACTGTGGCGTACCACAGACGAACTATGCGGGAGATAGAGTTGTTCCACTTCAACTTGAAGAATCAAAAGGAGACCTGCGCCGCAAGCAACATAACATCACCACATATGGCTCCTCAGGAAGCTACAATGGTTCCATAAACCATAACGTAAGGATTTTGTATATTTGTTAGCCCTTCAATATTCAGCATAGAAACTTCACCACGAGTCTCTAATAATAAAAGAAAATTGTATATGCTTCCTTATGCATCGGCTCTCTTTAGTCCTCGTGCCAGGGGGATTGAGAATGTCTTTGTTTCTGTCATTAGGCATACATTTCATCCATGGAAACTGACTTGGTGCCGGAGCCAACAGCACGTGTCCCAACAAGAACCCCCGACCAACTCCAACCTGACCATCCAGTTCAGATGGTAGCACAACTCAGTCCAATGGACAGACAAGCCAGAGTCTTGAGATACAGAGAGAAGAAGAAGACAAGGAGATTTGAGAAGACAATAAGGTATGCTTCAAGGAAGGCATACGCAGAGAGAAGACCGCGGATCAATGGCCGGTTTGCAAAGGGCAGAGAATCCGAAGCAGAGGAGGACCAAGGGTTCAACACAATGCTAATGTACGACACAGGATATGGCATTGTTCCTTCATTCTGACACTCCTCTATCCCCAAAAAATAAAATAGTAGATTGCAAGCTGTAAATTAAATTACTTATTAGTTTGAGATTCTGTGAGGTTTGGTCTTGGCTTCAAGAATTATTGCTTATGCATTTCTGTAGTCTTAGCTATTCATATTCCTCTGTATTACTTAAACAAAACCTGTCTACTTCCCAATTCTAATTATGCCATCCCAGGACATTTTCACACATTTCCCTGAGAAAATTAGGTTCTACATATATTGATAACACAGACCAATTAGTTCAATGCAGCATTTGGAATCCCAAAAATAAACATGAAAGCAAATACGAAGTGGGAGGAAGTTAAACGTATACCAGAAACACTGAGTGAACCATGCTATTGTGAGTCGAAGCATATTATTGTTCTCTCATAACCCTTTAAGTATATATCACTCACAAGTCACAACTAGTAACAATATGTAAAATGCATATGGATATGGGCCATCCGTACAAACAGAGATACTTAATTACTTCATGAAACCTCTTTCTTAGTCTTCTTTATCTTGTAGAATACTTTCTCACTTTACCAAGGTGATGCTTATTTACTTTCTCATTTTGGAATACTTCATCCGAATATGCTGATAAAAGAATGACAAGTGACAACAGAAAGATTAAAAGAAAAAAGAAGTGGCACTGTAACTAAGGATTCCATTTCTGCCATCTGGAAGGAGCTAAACTCATCTACGGTTCACAGTTTCATGATTATGCTGCTGCAGAAATCTGCGTATATATGTTATCAGCAAAAAGATCTGAGTCCGGTGTTATAACTTGCCTTGCTTTGATAAGAAATCTTGTAATCGTAAGCAAAAACATACAACAAATACATCATCACTTGTTACTAGACAGAGTCATATTCCTGGTGTTTAGTTTCACAAACCAACAGTCATATATGTGTTTCTCTGTTTCAAGAACTTTAAGAAGAAATAACAACCAAGTATATAGCTGACTGAGTGTTAGTATCAAGTGATGGATTCGGGGACTCACGTGACAAGTGCATAAAGGGACAAAAAGTCGCTGCACTTTTGCACTTTCCTGCACTTTTTACATGGTCCCTGGACCCTCCCTCATAGATTCTCACTCTTTTTGCTAGAACAAAATTAACAAAGTAAACACAGATAACTGATAGTGTGCGTTATCAGACTCTTAGCTTGCTTCAGTCACCATATATTAGTATAAAATAGCAGTTTCCTCCAAAATATATACTTTTATGTCATGTGAGGCGTCAGGCGTGAGAGGAATTCCAAACGACCATTACAATGATTTGATGAAACCCCACAGATGGGCAACAAAGAAGCAAGAACTTTTTTCTTTTGAGCCACAGATGAAAAATGCCAAAACAGATGACTTTTTTCATGAGGAAAAAACTATATATGCCATGAATCTATCCAATTGCTACCAAGTAATAAAGCACCTGCAATACTCTTTGTCTCTCGATCCCAATGCGTGAGCCCATCAAAGCTCGATAAAGCCCATCAATAAAACCAAAGATCAGAAGGGCCCAAAGTAGTCTCATCAAACGTGTTTTCCTAAATACTATTATTGATTCTTTTATGGAAAGTTTCCTATTTTGATGCCAATTCCCATGCATCCATATTTACATTTTTATACGTAACCTTTAACAAAAGGAACTGAAGAGTGGCGAGAGTTTTCATCTCCCGGTCAGCCAACAAAACAGTTAAAAAAAAATTACTGTACTCTTATAATCGATTTGTCGGTCCAAATCACTCGTTTTGAAGATTGTGTAACTCATTTTTATAGGCAATCCCTAGCTTATAGGTGTTATTCACCGATGAAATCAAAGGCAATATATAATGCGCATATATAGGATGGAGGATCATTTTCTTTATTTTAAATATAATTAAGTAAATTCCAAATGATCCAACTTCATTATGCCAGACGTGGAAAAGAATTTCATAAACGCATGCCTCCTCGAACGATCCTCAAGAAGAATGCAGAATTTTCCAAAGAGTAGTTTACTTTTCTTGACTACTCTCGGTGTTGGGTCATGGGTGAGAAGAGTTGGTGGTACTTGTTTGTCGTCTTTTCTTTTCCTCTGTACGGTGTACATTAATACATTCTCTTTTTCCATATTGCAGAATATAATCTTTTTTCTTTTAGTTCCTTGTATACAAATTTAGAATTATTTCCTGATTTCTTTATATATCATCTTCTTCAAGTGAAGGAAGAAATATCATCCATCATATCCCAATTATCTTCTTTCCTGTTTATACACAAACACCTGGAAAAATAAACAGATAGAAGCAATCTTCCAGTTCAACACAAACAGCTGGAAAAATAAAACTCAAACTTTGGTACGTAGTTAAAACCCCGTTAAAAGGTAATGTTTCAGATAAAAAAATACATAAAACTCCACTTTTATCTCGGCCCTAAAAGATATATATGGGCCGGAATTTCGCGGACACCAAAAAAAGAGAGAGAAGAAAATAGATAAGATTAGAGGCATAAGATCAGAACAAACAACTCATGATGGATGATGAGTTCTTGGATCATCAGTAATACAAGAGAAGTCTTGATCCAAGTCATGATCCAAGGAAGAAGAACAGCATCTGGCATGGATGCTTCCGCTTCCTCCTTCTCCTCCTCCAAGCTTCTTCATGGATGTGATAACTTGACGAAGCTCCAAGTTTTCCTCTTTAAGACTCAGGTTCTCCCGAAGAACAAGATCGTTGCTGTCCGAGGCTTGGTTAAGCTTATCTAAAAGCTGATGGTTCTCACTTCGAAGCCAAGCAACCTGCGAGAGAAGCTCGTCTAAGTGTCTTTGCTTTCTCATTCTTGACCTTCTTGCTGACTCTCTGTTAGATACCATACGTCTTTGCTTTCTCTCGTTGATGACGAAGACTTCTTCATTTGCTTCATCCGAAGTCGTAGAGTTGTTGCTTGCCGGAGATTGTAGATTGAGTTCTTGAATTTGAGGATAATGGATAAGATTGAGATTGTTATTGGTTGAAGGGTTTAGGTTGTTGTAGTAGTGGTTTAAGTGGAAGTAGTCTTGTTGTTGCATGTTGTTAAGACTTGAGCTATCATAATTTGGCTGCATGGTCAATTTCTCTCTCTCTCTCTCTCTCTCTCTCTCTCTCTCTCTCTCTCTCTCTCTCTTTAGAGCTCAAAGAGGGTGAGTTAATGGTGGAGATTGGAGGAGAAGGGGTGTTTATACAGCAGAGAAAGCCATAAAAGTGGACCACACCTTTTTGCAAATTGGTGGCTTTCGTGACACATGATCAAGGGTTTTGCTTTTGAAAAATAATTTAGATTATGTCTCTACTTCTACATGACCCATTAGCATGTTTTTTTTTTCTTTAGATTATTGAGAAGACTGTTTGAAAAAAATATTTACAGGTTGCCCTAGAAATCTACAAATACATGCGGAATTACTGTTTTTTTTGTAAAAGAGGATAAATACATCGATAATCAGGTGAATTAGAATAACTTGGTCCCGTTAACGTATTGTTTTTTCACCGATCGGTCGATGCATGAGAGAAAGCATGCCTTATATAATCATAACCTTTTGCATGCATGCATGGTGTATATATCGTATACCGACATAACTTGTATATATATGGAGATGGTACATACATCGATCATGACATATATATGATTAGTTTAATAACCAAGTGGCAAGTTGTATCCGGTGCATGCGAGTATATATATAGGAGAGGGTGATATATCATATATATAGCCATCCAGTGGCATCATGATGTTCATGCATGATTGAACTGAAAAAGGTTGATATATCATGCCCATGCATTATGATGATAATGACACATGAGGACTTGGGGTACAATATGTATATATTGTGGATAAAATCAAGTTTTGGATCAGTGTTATGTGCTTACATCAGAGAGAGAGAAAAATTAGTTTCTAGTTGTGGGGTTTCAAAATTATTTAAGTTTAGAAACAGTGCTTTTGTTAACCCACATATAAAGTGTTGATGATGCCAAATAAGTCAATTTATAAAGCTTTTCTTTATTTAATTCTAACATCTACACAACTGAACAATTTATTTTATTCTTTTGTCTAGAAAAATAAGAAGATTATCTATTGGACTTCGAGATTTGCTTCTCTTCTTTGATTAAACATCAATTATTATATGGTTTTCTGCGTAGACGTTTAGACGTCCTATAAATTGATCAAATTAAGGACTTATAAAATGGATAGTTGAACCTTATTTTAGTAATAGAGCACCTACTAGTTTATATTTTTACCAACAAATTATAAGTTCTACCTTATTTTACACATATACATTCTAAGGTTTTAAACGGTGGTTTATGCTCAAACACAACTATGTCATACAAAAATTTTAACCGTCTCAGAAGCGGATTCAAAAAATTAATTAGTATGGATCACATAGTATAAAAAATATATAGATTAAGAACACCTAAAAATTGTGTTAATTACTTTGAAAAAACAAAAATTAGTATGTGGCACATGCCGTATCGTACCGTTTATTGTGCATGGTCTCTTAACCAATCATCCTAAATGTTTTAAAGTGTTTTCTTTCTTTTCGATAATTAGAGGATTCCGGACAAAAACAGATACTGGCTATAGTATAATCTTCGAGATTTGTAGCATGACCGATTATTCTTGACATTTATTATATTCACAGTTGTTAACACTAAATAAACCGTATGAAATAACTTGAACTCTGATCTTTCAATCCACACAATTCATCATTGGATCATTTCTATTAAAATATTGTTACATATTTCAACTCATAAAATCAAGTCATATAGAAAAGATCATGTTGATACAACTTACAAGAACTTAATTATTATTCCAACTCTTCTCTTATTATATATGCTGAAAGACCCACTTATTAACAAAAACCAAACCAAATAAACTCCTTAGTTGCACTAGGAAAGCAAGATGTGTTAGGCAGACTTGGCTTGTCGTTTTCTGATGTTCACTACAAAGGCTAAGGCAAAGGCTATAATACATTTGAAGAGCTGGTGACTCAACAACCACTTAAAACCACACACACTTGCGAAATGATTAAAATTTAATTAAGACCAATATTTTTGCATAATTAATTAGTTATCTAAGTTATGTTAATTAGATAAATGTTATATGATCTCCTGGTCAAATATTTCGTTGTAAAACTGTTTGACTTTTAAATAAAACGTCATCAAATTTAGGGAAACCGTTTGGGATTTGTCC